AAAAGAAGGAAGAAAGAAACGTGTACTCAATGGCTCAGAATATGGATATAGTTGAAGCTTTTGATATTGTGTTGTTAAATTGCTTTCCAATTTCAACATGCCACTGTTAGTGAATAAGTGTGTACCTGTATCCTACTGCAGTAGAGAGTATAAGTATAGGGGCGTGGTTTTGAAGGAAGCATGTGACCTTTGGCACTATGTGGTCCTATTACTATTATGTCTCCTCTTTTCAGTAAAGATTCTTGAAAAGCATAGTCTTCAAGGCTGGGTTTATTTCTTCAATTCCCATTCATCCCAACCTACTGGAATTTATCTTCCAGCCCAACAGGACAATGAAATTGTTTTTGCCAAGATCTCTAATAAACTTTTTCTTTCTCTTTCCTACTGGCAGTAGTTGATGGTTTGGATCCACCTTGCTTTTGATCCTCTCCCTCGCTTCCATGACAACTTCTCTCCTGATTTTCTTTACTTTTTCACTGGCTGTTCTGCTCAGTCTCCTTGATAGGCTCCTCTTCTATTGCTTCTCTGTGACATATTGGTCATCCTTTGGATTCTGACTTAAACTCATTGTCATTCTACACATCTGGGTAATCTTATCCAAACTCAAGACTTCTACTCTCTATAGACTGATGATTCCCAATTTGATATCTTTATTCCAGATTCTCCCCAAATCCCTACACCCTTAAATACTATATATACTGAGTATTTCCACTTGGATGCCTCGTATGTACATCAAACTCAATATGTTTACTACTGAGCATATACGTATTTAAAACTGCACTCTCTGTATTGGTGTCATTTATTCAATTGTTTAAGCTGGAAACTCCAAGATATTCCCTGGTACATGGCTCCCTCTCACTTTCTACATCTCTCTTCCTCCTCCTCCTCACCCACCCCTCCCTGATCCTCCTCCCTCCAGCTCCTTCTCTCCTCTCTCTCTTTCTTCTTCCCCTTCTTCCTCATTCTCCCTCTTTTATTTCCTTTTCTATTGCTCTTCTATGTAGAAAGTGCCATTGCATCCAGCTTCCCTCAAACTCTAGTCCTTGCTTCCCTGTCCTACTCCTTTATATAATACCAACCACAGAAGCAAACACCTTAACAGGCTACTACTTTGTGAGTTTTATTCTTGAAATAAATATTTGCATTTAACATTCACTTTTGTGACTTTGGGCAAAATACTGAACCTCCATTTGCTTCAATTTCCTCATCTGTAAAATGAGGATAATAATAGCATCTAAACCATAAATGTAAGAATTCAATCCAAATATTTGTAAAAAGATTCAGAGCAGTGCCTGGCATGTGGTAAACATTATATGAGTATAAACTTTATATATACTTCTTGGCTGTCATTGTTTTCTATTACCATCTATTATTACTAGAATGAGTATCATCTGTCTCCATTTTTCACTATTACAGATTTTCTTCTCACATTAATTTATTACATAATATTTAAGGTGGTTAGTCTTCTGAAAAAATTAGGAAAGTGTTTAATGTATTTTCATAGGTAAAATTTTAATAATTAAAAGCTTTAAAATTCTTTTTATAAAGTTGAGTTTAATTTTCAAGGGAGGAGGAAAGATATTTGTGGGGAAACATCCCTAACAGCTCTATCAGCTGGAGTTGGCTTGGCTCTAAAATATTTAGGAATTTTTGTGACTTGGTTCAAGTATTGGTAGCTTGATCTTGACAATGACGTGAGGCTTTATAACATGCAAATTGGGTAACTGCTACAAATCAGGGCCCATTTACTAGCATATCACTGTATAATTTTGCTAAAGACCAGGATCATTATGATCTTCGACATAATGACAAATCATTTTACTGTAAATTTTAATACATCATCAGGTTAAATTGTGCCTGCAAGATTTAACAATTACTATATAGATTAGAAGTCAATATAATAATTATCCTGTAACCTGGGTGTTAGCTCATCATTCAACGTCAAAGGACGTCTCTGTATATTTTCTACTGGTTCCTTTGCATGTTTATATGTGTTTTTGAGTGATTAGTGACCAAATGAATTTTTTCAACCATCTTAAAATGTAAAAGAGAAGTACTCTTTTTCAATAAAAAGAAAATACATATTTAAAAGAAAAATTTCCACCCAAATTTTAGAACCAAGATAGGGTAAATTCAGAATTTAGAGTAATTCTTCAGTTTTACCTACAACTGGTAAAACTGGATAGTTGTTAAGATGAGTTATAATTCCCCTTAGAAAAACTGTCTCATCAAATGCTCACCTAGTGAAAAAACCACATATAAGACCTTTTTGAAACTGACTGGTTCGTGGGTTCCACTTCCTGTTGTGAGGAGTGAAATGTATCTTAAACTCACTAAAGTTCTCAAGACTGTTTTCCTTCTCTCCTATAAACCAATTTAGGTTTCAAATTCATATACATTAAGTGAAACTGAAACTCCCTGTAATTTGTTATTTCTATAGTATGCAGTCTGTTTCTGGTCAGGGGAAACAGTTTGAACAGTTATATAGATTTTATAATAATTTGCCTTAGGAGAAATACACTCGGAGGACGGTTGACTCAAAGACTAAACTCTCCTGACCCCCTTAAAAAAAAGTCTGAATAAAGTCCTTTCTTGGTATTGAGTGCTGACCCTGTTTGAGGTATTGTCCTTCTGCTTAGAACTGCCACTTCCCATCCAGCTTGGGCACAAGAATCTAGCAGGCTGGTCTTGGGCAAAGTTGAGACAAAGCCTACAGTTTGATTTGGGGCTTTCTCTAGAACCAGCCTAAGGTTGGATGGTGGAGCTGGAGAGCCCCCAGTCCCACTGGGAGCTCATAAGGGATGGGTGGAGGTGATCCAGTGGTTCCCAGTCAGGAGAGATGGGTGAGGGCTGCCTCCCTTCACACATCCTGCAACGGGCCTCTTATGACTTTTCTCTCTCTCCTTCTTTTTACAGCGGCTCTTTTTGTATGAACTAATGTGGTTTCACCTTGTTCATCTGGGGCCAGAACCCTCTAGGAATGCCCCTGTCTACAACTGCCTTTTCTTCTTTTTCACCCAGTTGTTAGTCTGTCTTCACTGCTCTCTGGGGATTTCTGGATGCCAGATTTTCCCAAATCATTTCCACTATCTAAATTCACTTACTCTCTTCTTTGCCTTTAGTCCTAACTCTCAGCTAAGTTTTAGGTATCCAAATAATACACATATTTGGGCTAAAATACTTTGTTAATAGGTACTAATTGGGTTTTACTGATCTCGGATAACTGGCATATCAAAAAAGACCCCAGGAGACCATTTGAGGGAATGGTGGAAATTTTAGACCAAGAGGAAGATCAGGGTGGAAAATATTTTGTGAAGTGGGGCTGAGGCTAGATCGTTGTCATGATAACGTGCCTAAATTTTAGTCATGTGTCATGTGAATGTAACGTGTCTATGCTTTCCTAAAATTTAGGGCATTATTGCCTTTGTTATATCCTTTTTTCACAGGGATGATTGATAAAGAGTCAGTACGAGGATTTTCTAGGATATATATTTCCTAGGAAATATAATTTAAGCACTCTAACTTCATCATCATCACAGAAGGAAATACAAGTCCCACTTATCCTAAAAAAATTAGTATGAAATTTTTATTAAATACGAAGTATTTGTTTATATTTATAATCATATAATGTTGTATTACATAAAATCATACAAAGTAATGTTTTTTAGTTTTCAGAGCATACAGTCTTGTTAAATATTTATGAGATCCATAGGATAGGAATTATTATAAATGTCTTGATTTTAGAAATGAAGAAGTGGGTTTAAAGTGGTAAAGTGACATTTTTCTGGGTAACACACCTACTAATTATGACCGCCATGAGTTGATTTCAGGCCTCTGGATTTAAAAATCTCATCCTATTTCCACTATATCAGATTCCCCCTTCAAACATATAGTAGAACCACATATAATAGCTATTCCATCAATAGTTAGATATGTAGAATACTAGTCACTTGTATCTAGAATAACATTATAAAATGCTGTAATAAGATCGCATACCAACTTTTAGAACTGCTTTTCAATTATATGCAATTTTTTCAAATTCTCAACCCGTTAACATAAAAGTTTGTCATTTAAACCTGGACAAATTCAACTTACATATAGTAGAGGAAAAATGAAATTTCTTTAATCTAAAATCTCTCTCCACACACACACCCCCCACACCCATACAGCCCTTTGAAAGCATTTTTGTTTTCTGTTTTTGCTGATAGTCTGATTTTACACAAACCATTTAAAATGTATTGTGAAAAATGTGTATTTCAGATATATTGTCTTATGTCTGATTTGAGTATTTGAAGAGCTAGTATAAAATAAAAGTTGGTAATTAATTTATCTTCCATAAAACATGTGAGAAATATTCAGAGATAATTAAAGACCAAATAAGAAATTTAAATTTTGCTGTAAATAAGAGTTTACTGATAAGGAGGATTGATAGTTACTTAGATCTCACCGAAAGAGGTTGTGGAATTTCTTTTTCTGGGATATTTATTTCATGTGGCTTAGGTGTAACCCTGTGTGGTAGCAGGACCATGAATTTAATAGTCCAATGTGAACCTGTCATACTTGGAGATTGTGACAGTTATCTTCCAGGTTTATTTAAATAATCATTGTTATTTAGAAATTGCAAGAAAAGAAGCAGGACGTATTTTTTCTCCTCTCACAAAAAAATAAAAGGGGAAACATTTCATTATTTTTAAGAACTTCGGTGAACACCGACCTGTCATAACTAAAGTGGTAGTGAGCGAGCTGCCTGTGGGTGGAAACAGGAAACATTAGTGATAAATGCTGTGTTACATATTTTTTTCAGGTTCAGCTCAATGTATATTGATTCTAATTAGCACATTTTGTGCCTCAGCTAGTAGCTCCCCTTTAGCTCTGCCTGGAGAGTTTTTTTTAGCTTCCATCCTGCTCATAAACACTGCCACCTCCTCCCTCCTTCTCTCTTTACAAATGTTACAACACAATCAGAAATTTCCTCTTTTCTCTCCTTCCTGCATTTTCAGCAGGTTCCCTTGCGTCAGAAGACGAGAAAGAAAACTCAAGGTAATTAAATCTCTTTTGTTTCTGTCTTCCTTTTCTGCGTGAGTGAGTGTGGTTTTTCTTTTGGATGCCGTCTTTGGGATCAGATTTTTGTCTGTCTTCTTGCTGTTATTGGGCAGATTAATTTTGGGCGATTTTTGGATCGATTTTAAGAAATGACGACATGCTGTTCATTTGGATTAATCCCTTGTGGTATGTCAATAGAGCTTAGAAAAACTGGCAGAGTCGGAAAGCGGCTGTGTTTTTAGGTGGGCATTAACCCCTCTTCATCTATTGCATAACTACTGCTATGATTGTTGAAAGGAGCTGTGTTAGTGCAATGATGTGCCTGCCAGCCTCAGGATTTTAATTTTTGCAACTTATTCTTGTTGACTAATATTCTTCGACTAATACTTGCTTGTTAGTCTCACTGTTTCTTTGGCCATATCTTGTACTGTCTAAGCACCAAATGAATGTTTAAAAATAAAGTAGATAAAAGATTTTTTTTGAATTTACTTTGCATAAATCTTGGTAAAAAATCCAACTCCCAGGAGGTAAACAATTAAGAGTTACCTTTCACTGTGTTGCATACATCAGGGTAATACGTTACCATTTCGTGTAATTGCTGCAGGTTTTTTCACCATGAGTCGGAGGAGGATATCATGCAAAGACCTGGGACATGCTGACTGCCAAGGGTGGCTATATAAGAAAAAGGAAAAGGGAACTTTCCTCGGCAACAAATGGAAAAAGTTCTGGGTGGTGCTGAAGGGATCGTCACTGTATTGGTATAGCAATCAAATGGTGAGTCCACTGTCTTCCCCCTGTTCCCAGCCTCCTTGACAAAGATTGCGTTAAAGATCATTGGGGAGCAGATGATCCCTATGGAAAAGTTAATTTTGATTTCTGGGACTTAGAGCAAATAAGTAAGTTCTAGAAACTGTTTCTGGTCCAATAGATATGTAGGTTATTCTATGGTATTTTACGGAGAGAAAACCATCCTGTTTGGCTAATCTTTGGTTGGGGAGGGGTGTCCAAATTTATACACTGACTAACGGAGGCTTTCAGAATCTATTAATATTACTATTCGGTGAGAGAGTCTAATCGTTTCAGGATTTACATGGACAGCACTTGGTATGGGAATTTTACATTGTCAAGGTCTTTACTAAAAAGGGACTCAGCTTTGTGACCTGTTAGGGATGTAAAGTGATCCAGCCGACAGAAGCTATTTCCATTTTTTCTCCTTTATTGTCTTCTTCTCCTCTGACCCTTTTATTAGGTGGGTTGTTTTGGAATTGCTAACCTGTGTGCCAGCATTGGGTTGGTGACTGTCATCTCTTATTCCTTGGCATGTTCAGTGATGGCGTTAAACTGAGGCTTGGAAAATACTTGATAAGAGAGTTGTCTAATTGATCCTTTAGAAGCAGTGCACTTTTGTGGTCTGCTTCACAGGCTGCTTTCCTGTTGAAAAGGACTGGAAGTAAAGTAATTGTTAGAAGGTGTGCTGATCTTTCATGACTTGAAATGTTTTGAAAATGATATATTGTTGAATATTGAATGAAAAGAGACTTTTCACGTACAACTCTCTCCACCAACCCCAGAGTAACCAACTGCTGATCTCAGGAGAACTTAGTTTCTCTTTGGGGTATAGTGAAGATCAACAATGGATGTCCTTTAATCAATTAAGGGGAAATTACTAAGGAATTGCCCATAAGCCAGAAAAGTTCTTTTTATGTGACATCATTCTTTTAAAATGATTTGTGTATGCCCGTCACTCAAGTATCAGAGCTTTAGAGTATGTAACTTTATAAATGTGAAATAGGTGCTGCATGTACTTTGTGGGCCAAATTTTTAGTTGATAAATTTACACTCACTGGCAACTAATCAAAAATTTGTGTAGGGGCTGGCCTGGTGGCTTAGTGGTTAAGTTTGCGTGCTCTGCTTCGGTGGCCTGGGGTTCATGGGTTCAGATCCCAGGTGCGAACCTCCACACTGCTTGTCAAGCCATGCTGTGGCAGCATCCCACATATAAGGTAGAGCAAGATGGGCATGGATGTTAGCCTAGGGCCAATCTTCCTCAGCAAAAAGAGGAGGATAGGCAACAGATGTT